TGCAGAAGGCCAGAGAATTCCAATACCATCAGTCTTTATGCACAGAATGATGGCTGCAAATTTAAAGTAGCAAATACATGCTCCAGAGCCCAGAGGGTCCCCAGTCGCCCAGGAGATAAACTTTTCAAGTCCCCGCCCCCCTTTGGAACGTGCCTTTTCCGTCCTCTTCTAGTCCTATGAAAATCAAACTCTTCCCTCAAAATTGAGATTCAATTCCCACTTCCTCCGTGGACTTTTCCTTCTCTCAACAAAATGGCTTTCTTCAGATATCCGCAAATAATTTGGTTAGGATGATCTGCTTCTATTTGCTACCACACCCAAAATACTAAAAAGACGAAAAGAAAACTCAATGAGTATTGTCTTGGGTAAACAATTTACCAAGGTTACGTTTTAAAGTAGAAAAAAATGTTTGCAAAATGTGGAATAGAAAATACACTCGAAAAAAATCCACTAATCTGCATTGCCACATTTGGACCACCCAGAGTTTCTGCTCAGGAAACTCCCCCTAGATGGAACAGTCCAGTCATTAAGGGGGAAGTCCATTACTACAGCCCACCTATGACACTTCACAGTATTTGAAATTCAAAGTCACCATCAACTGATGAATGAGTCAACAAAAACAGTATATCCCTACAGTGGAACAAAGCACTGGTACTGGGCTACAGTATGAATGCACCTTGAGAACGTTTGGTCAGTGAAAGAAGCCAGTCACAAAGGACCACATGGTGTATGATTCCATTTAGATGCAATGTCCAGAATAGGCAAATCTACAGAGAAAGAAAGTATATTAGTGGTTGCCTGAGGCTGGAGGGAGGCAGGAATGAGTAGTGACTGCTAACGGGTTTCTTTTGGGGGTGATGAAAATGTTCTGGAATTAGATAATGCTGATGGTTGCACAAGTCTGTAAATATACTAAAACCCACTGAATTATACACTGTAAAAGGATGAATTTAATGGTTTGTCAATTATATCTCAATACAGTTGTTTAAAGAATTTCAAAGTCATTAGTGGTATTTTCATGAAAACACACACACACACATACATACATACGCAGATTACTGTGTAAGGCTATTCTCTGCCCTTTGAAGGCTTAGTTCAAATATCACACCCTCAGGATCCAGGCTGCTATATTTAAAATGACAGTGTGCCCCCTCTCCCCAAATCCCAATCTTCCTTGACCTGACCCCCGCTCCCCACCCCTGTGGCATTTATCACCTTCTAACATACTAAATGATTTGCTTACTTATTTTTGTCTCTCTTCCACGCCCCAAATACACACATGCCAGAGAGCAAACTCTATATTGGCAAGGATCTTGTCTCGGTCACTGACTTAGGCCAAGGCTGCCTGGCCCAGAGTAGGCACTGAATACATACTTGTTGCATGAATTAATGACTAAATGAATGAGTGATAAGCTCATCATTTTTGTATCCCTCCCATTTTTCAGACATTTGGGGCAGCCTGTTAACTAACAGCTGCTTAGGAGCACTGGACTTCTTGGGACCAAAATAAATTCTGAATGTGGAGAAGAGCAACAGTCCTTCCCCTCTGCAACGAAAACCCAGACAAGGGTCAAAAAAGAAACTGACTTCAATTTTTAAAACTCTGTTTAAAGAAATACATGGTCAATAAAACACAAGCCAGCGACACAAAGGTAACAATTCATCTCTCACCCGTTGTAAAGTTGTTTAGGAATGGAGATACTTACTGAGTAATGAAGTTTTACCAAAATCTGATGGGCAGTGAGGGGAGATAGGAAATAACTTCAAATAAGAGATAAGACCCATTGGCTAGGAGCAAGGACTGGATCAAGTGATAGGAGTGAAGAGAAGTCAAACCCATTCATTATTTTAAATGGCTCATCCCTAGTTAGGCCATCCTGAGTGTAACTTATCTTGTTCTTTTCTCTACTGATCAGACGCAGCTCAGATGAAAATAACGAAGAACGGGTGCATCAGAATCAGTTAAGGCTGCCAGACCTTTGGCAAATCTCACTGACTTAGGCCAAAAACCCCACAAAGCTTTGGGAAATGTTCCACCATCAATGTTCTATTTATATGACCAAAGAGGGAAGTATAGGGATTTCAAATCCATAAACATATCCTTTAGTACCTAAAGAGACTCCGTCTGTGCTAAGTAAAAACAGACATGGATATTCACGGCAGTCTTGTTTTTAATAGTAAAAGATAAGAAACAACCAACATGCCCATCAATAGGGAATTAGTTAAATAAATTATGGTACATTCAGTTAATATATAGGACTCATATTCAATAGCCGTTTAAAAAATAAACAAGCACTCTATGAACTTCTATAGAATGATCTTCAATATGTACTGCTAAGTGAAAGAAATGTGCATGTGTTATAGTACAATGAACGGGGCTGGGTAAGTAGACAACAGATACGTGAGGGTTTGCAAACATTAACTCTGTGTGGAAGGAGACATAAGAAATGGTTAAATAGGGTGCCTGGGTAGCTCAGTCATTAAGCATCTGCCTTCACCTCAGGTCATGATCCCAGGGTCCTGGGATCAAGCTGCCATCAGGCTCCTTGCTCTCTGGGAAGCCGGCCTCTCCCTTCCCCATTGCCCCTGCTTGCGTTCCTTCTCTCGCTGTCTCTCGCTCTCTGTCAATTAAATAAATTAATTAAAATTTTTAAAAAGAAAGAAAGAGATGGGATGCCTGGGTGGCTCAGTGGGTTAAAGCCTCTGCCTTCAGCTCTGGTCATGATCCCAGGGTGCTGGGATCCAGCCCTGCATCAGGCTCTCTGCTCAGCAGGGAGCCGGCTTCCCCCTCTCTCTCTGCCTGCTGCTCTGCCTACTTGTGATCTCTGTCAAATAAAGAAATAAAACCTTTAAAAAAAAGAAAGAAAGAAAGAGGGGCGCCTGGGTGGCTCAGTGGGATAAGCCTCTGCTTTCGGCTCAGGTCATGATCTCAGGGTCCTGGGATGGAGCCCCACATTGGGCTCTCTGCTCAGCGGGGAGCCTGCTTCTCCCTCTCTCTCTGCCTGCCTCTCTGCCTACTTGTGATCTCTCTCTCTCTGTCAAATAAATAAAGTCTTTTTTAAAAATAATAAATAAATAAATAAATAAATAAGAAGAAGAAAGGAAGAAAGAAAGAAAGAAATGGATAAACAGTGGCCTCTGGAAATACATCTGGGTGACTGGGAAGCTTGTAAAGGAGGGAGACCTATTTTTTCCTGTCTCCCCTTTGTACTTATTTAATTAGCTCCATGTGCAAATACTACCTATTCAAGGGAAATAAAATAAAAGAGAGTAGCCTGCTAAATCACATTCATTTTCTATATGCAAATGAATTCATTTAATAAACTTTATTGAACATCTAATATGTGCCACTGGAATAAGAAAAGGGATTGGCTGAGAGTTATGGAAGATGCTAGCATTAGGGACATCTAATACAGGACCTCTCCGTATGACTTTTGCAGCTTCTTCTAATCATTTACAAATAAAAACTAAATTAAAAAAAAAAAACTGGATGAGCCAATCCCTGTAGTCAGGGAGTTTTCTTCCTTTCTTCCCTCCTTCCCTCCTTCCGCAAACATTTATTACTATACAGGACACAGAAATCATAAAGGGTGATGATAAAGTACACTTTATTTTACCATGTAATTCTAAGAGTTTGAGTCTCGTCTTGCTTCTTTAAGGTGATTCAAATTTAAGACTTGCTAGGATTCTTCCACAGTATTTATATCTATTTCTGGAAACTTTCATTTATTGTATTTAAACATCATATAATTCTCTTGAAAGGTACAATAGATGTTATACAGACAAGTAGCGGCAGTTCTTTCAAAACTCTTAGAAGTGTCTCTTCCGCCTTTGAAGTTATACCATCAATCTATGTCTACTTTGAGCCTTGAGGCAGAAGGCCAATCTGGGCCCCGATTCATCAGTGGTTTAAACCCTGCTTCAACCTGTCCCTGATCTGCAATGGCCACCCAACCAGGAGTCACAAACTCAAACAATGCTCCAGGGGCCCAGCCGGGAATGTGACTGAGTGAGGTGGGCCAGGTGCAAGCAAAAATAACTAGCAACGAGATGGTAAATGGCAAAGGGGCCTCAGGCAGGAATACCCTTGGGAGTGGTGGTCTAGGAACACATGGCCCATCCAGAGGGTTATTACCACACATTGTTGCTCTGGGGAATGTGGGCCCAGGATTCACAGATCTTGTGATTTGTTCAAAAGAAGCAAAATACATATATATGTATATATACATATATATATACATACATATATATGTACATGTATGTATGTGTATATATATGTATATATACATATATATACATACATATATATGTACATGTATGTATGTGTATATATATGTATATATACATATATATATTTAGTGTTTCTCGGTTTTTAAAAGTTTTTGTGTTTTTTTTTAACTGTATTGCTGTGTGGAGTCAAATAAACACACCTACAGGGCATTTTTTTTGGTGAAAAAGACACATAAGAGGAGTCTGGCAATGTAGATGCTGATTAGACCAGGTCATAAAACTATCATTTCTAGATTGTGAAGGCGGAGGAAGAGGAAAACAATTCCTAGATCTTAGAAGTAT